ACTTTGTTGAAAGACTAGAATTACTTATAGATCAACTTTTAACACTACAGTACACTCCCAACATCATTTCTAATGCCATGATCAAATGTTTGAATAAAAATAAATACATATCATACAAGTATTTGCAACTACAATCCTTCAAAATCACTAAAACCTTTGTTACTAAAATGCTCACAAAAATGCAACTCAGCTGATTTTTTTGACTTTTTTGATCTATTTGCTCTACCCCTCATGTATAAATACCCCCCTTAAACCAATCTGTCCCAGTGCACCACTCTTCCCTACTGACGAGCCTCGGGAGTGGTTAACACTATAGTAACCTGTATAGGGGTAGAGGCGAAACAGGCGTAAAGAACCCATCATATCAATATTTACTATTCAAATGGGGCAGCAGCAAGTTAGTGTATTTAAATCAAGAATATTTGTTGTAAGTGACCCGACTATTAGTTAAGACCTAGAAAAAATGTTACGACTGATTTTGCATTCATCTTGTATTTGACTTTCTACTCACAAAAACCTTCATAACTCTTCGCCCAGAAGCCCGCAGCAAATAGCGAGGGCAAATTTGGAAATAGCGTTCCAAGCTCTACCAATCAGTGTTTTATTTCAAAAGGCCACTTCGACCAACCTTCCTTCCATTGTAAGAGCTAAACATTGTTCAAATTATAAACTCTCATGCGCAGTAAGGCCCTCAGAAGCAGTAACCCTTTGCCAAAAACAAGGATGTTATGCACAAAAAAATGCTTTTTTTTCTAAAAACCCATATTTGCTTTTGGTGTCAGCCATTTTTGTATCTTGCAGGTCATTCACTTAGAGCAGTCAATGAAGAAGATTTGCGGGAAGAAAAAATGTAAATTTGTTTATTTTTTAAGCTTGCTTGTTGTAACCTTGAAAGTCCCAAACCCGTTTGCAACTCCGTGCAAAACAGCAGCTCTATATTTTACGAAAAATGTCAACGAGATGCTTTACTTTCACACTTGCGAAAAGGGCCAAACCTTGATCTGTTACTTGAGTAATTTCTCGTCCACAGAATACTCGCAGCGACAGTTAATCTTGCGCCGACTTCTCATAAGAGAAGGAAGGTTGTTGAAGTGGCCTTTTGAAATTTGGGTGTATTATCTTGTAGAGCTTGGAAACGCTGACTTCAAAGCTACCTTTGTTATCTGCTGCGGGCTTCTGGGCGAGGAGTTATGAAGGTTTTTGTCAGCAAAAATTTCAATGCAAGATTAGTATAAAGTCGTCGATGAGTATAAAATCGTAACCTTTTCTTAACGTTCAAATAAGGCAGCAGCGAGTTCGTATTTTTGAATTAAGAATATTTGATCACCGAGTGACCCGATTATTTGAGCTCTACAAAAAATATTGCGTTTTACATTGATCTTGCATTTCATTTTTTACTCACAAAAACCTTCATAACTTTTCGCCCAGAAGCCCGCAGGTAGCGGAGGCAGATTTGGAATAAGCGTACAAGAGCATAAGCGTTGTGCTCTACAAGACAGCATACATCTCAATTCAAAAGGCCACTTCGACCAACATTCCCTTCCTTATCAGTCTCAATAAATTCAAGAAATACAAACTCTGCAGCTTGTGAACAAAACCTATTGTATATTCAATAATTATATTTTTTAAATAAAAACTTTGTGATTGAATGCTGACTGAGAAAGTGAACGAATTGAGCAAACTTCGTTCCCTTAATTCTCGGAAATATATTTTGGTAAATGGTGTTTAGAGTATTGGTGTATGTTATATTTATCAATTTACCGCCCAGCAATTTCAAAAGGCGCTTGACGAAGTTGCATATACGATCGAACGTGCTTGATCCCAGATTGCGTAGTTTGTCCTTTCAGCAAAGAGGGTGACTGCATGATTTCAGATGTGGTTTATATCGCCACATGTCTATCATGTGGTGATATTACTTTGGTGAAACAAGACGCCCTCTTTGCTGCCGTGTAAAAGAACATCTAGAAGGGCTACAAAAAACCAAGTCGAACACGCCCCTGGGCTCGCACCGCATGACACGAAACGATAATGTAGCGTTTCAAAATGGAGTTAAGATCGTATCGTTTGGGTCTGATTTTATCGTATCGTTTGGGTCTGATGTTCTGGCACGCGAAACTTTAGAGACGTTTTGGATAGCGGCGAAAAACCTAAAAATGGACGCTAAAGAGAGTGCATTGCTATCACGCAAGAGCTAACGTACTATCCGTTCTTTTGCGGATTTGATGCAGATTCAGCGCATATAAAAAAGCGGAGGAATGATCATGTTAAAACGTATTTATTGCAGCTCTCGAGCTGTCATTCGAGGTTGGTATCAGCGGCGTGGTCTTTGATGTTACCGTATCTCGATCGAATATCAGGCTGGCTCTGACGAAGGCGAAATCGCCGAAACTTAGCCAACAAAGGACTGATAAAATCTCGGTTGTCGCTGAAACATAACATACACGAATATTCGCCATGCCAAGATTTAGAAACTGCAGAATTTGGAATGCTTTACGTTGTGTTTAGAGTTTTCTTATACTTTGACAGATAAAGCCAAAATCCTTTCAAATTAGCATAAAAACCATAAAAGAGGATTATAATTATTGTGCAAAAGTTCGTTCGGAAAAGACATGTAGATGAAAACAGTTGTTTTGCAAAAAGACTCCGAAACAATTAATTTTGCACCAAATTGATATATTCGGGTGTTCATACCTTGGCATACAACACCCTTTACTTGTGGCAGGTGGTTGACTCTCTATCCTGTAAGGTTTTTAGCAAATTTGGCACAAAAAAAAGCAATATCATTTTTTGAAAACATGAGCGCGGATAACGGAAAGGAACCTTATCGTGTTTGCTAACCATTACTTGGCTAGCTTGTCATCCATTTTCGGATGAACAGCAGCACTGCTCCTTGGGACCGTAGAAAGTTGCGTTTGGAATCGCAAAATGGCTTCAAATTAAGGCAGGCTCCAAGCGTCTGTGGTGCCAGGTTGTTAGATACCTAGCAGGAACCAGTCGCGCGTTCTGGACAGCCCAGGATAATGGCAGTGGCATTTCCAATGCAACCACCTCACCTCCCATAATCAGATAGAATTTTTGTATTCCTCAAATCTGTGGTAGCCCTTATCTACTGCTTGTTTGCTATGGCTAAGGTGACAGACAGTATACTTTACCCTAGCAATGTGGTTACTGTTACTCATAGTGGTTTTGCACACGTTTACGTTCATTAGATGAAGATAAAATAAATTTACGACCCAAGATCTAAACCCGACTCGCCTTTTTCGATTTGTGTAAAGGTTGCTGAAAGCCAACTATTGAAAACTGAAAAAAGGAACAAACGAGATTTTGAGTGGCTTCCAATTCCTTAGTTTGGCGGTACTTTGACATGGGATTTGCTCTTTCGGCCAAGAAACGATGCTTTGTAACGAGGCAAAAAGAAATGACCAACTCATTTTAGAACAAAATTACAACTTTAGATAATAAACACCATTGAGCGCCCTAATACCTGACACCTCAGATTTAGTAAAATATGGTCCACAGGAATTTACATGCTAATTACGAAAACGATACCCATTACGTCTGATGGAACTTCTTTATGCTTACTGTTCGACCATGATAGTTCGGATACCTCAGTGTGCTTCTATTTTGCATAATGGGCTTATCTGACACCCCCACTAACATCAGATTATTGTTAACATCACTATCACCTCGACTACGGCTCCGTTCCCTCTCTGACCCCTCAATACGACTCCTCCCCCAGGCGTGGCGTGTCTCATCCCACGCTTGACCTTGCCTGTATCCGTTTGCTGTCCAGCTAAATGATGAGGTTAGTCGTTTCAAGTATTTGTATGAAAAGTTTAGTAGTTGTGCCATAAGGCAGCTACTTAACATAGATTGAGCTTTCAAATTATCATAACTGATTTCCATTAGCATAGAAGTGAGCAGTGGTCGCGCTTACAAAGAAAGCGAAGCCTTCCATTTCATTGTCAACAACAGAAACTGCAGATTTTTCCCGAAAAATGTCAGTGAAGACAAAGTTCAGCGAAACTCAAAGGCTGTGTTCAGGCAAATCTAGATGCATGGGTTTTCGCCCCCAAAATGACGAAGGGGTCCCAGACGGCAGCGCATATCATTCATTCACGGCTGAGAAGATCCGATTACTCCGCGGCTGTGACCTAACTTGCGATTAAGGCAAGAAGGGTCCCAGCGCGTAGTGTTGAAGTGAGCACGGTCATGGCGCAGGCGCGAAGGGGTAGGGGATGGATGTCTCAGCCTGAATGAGTCATATGCGCTGCCGATTGGGCAGTGCCTTACTTATGGCCCACTCATCAGTTCCAGGCAAAAAACCCATGCGCCCCAATTTGCCTGTAAACAGCCTTTAAAGGCAGTGTCCGGGCAAAATGGGGGTTCTGAGATTTCTCTGCCACGTGAAAGTAGCCCCCCTGAGACACAACATCGCGCAACTGCGAGCATAAAACGTTCGACCTAAAGCAAGAAAAACGATTGCAAATTGGGGAAACTTACGCCTTGGGGCGGGGTCCTCCGAGCTGTTTGAATTCCTGCCAGACGGCAGAGTACGTATGCCGCCACAGTTAAAAACCGTGCGCTCTTTGCAACCTCTGCGTCTTAGCTTGGCGGGGATCCCCAAATTTCGAAATGTGAGGACTTGGAAAATGCATGTTCTCGCCGTTTTCGCGCCTTCTGATGTGGATTTTCGGATTCAGCGTTGCGGATAACCCCAGATAAGTTGATTTTTTAGAAGTCGAGTTTCTGCCCGGACACTGCCTTTAACAACATTCAACAGGATCTTGCCCACGAGTACAAGCGCTGATAGTCACCACGGAATGATCGCAGATATCACATATTCTTGTACAACCTCTCACAACACTGTTCGTACAACTTTTGAATTACTAACCAACAGTCCTGTCTCCGAGCGCATCAATAGCATGTTATATATATGAGCGATCAAAACGTTTATTCCTTTATCAACTTTTCCATTCTTATCTAGGTTAAACGCGTACCCATCTTAACGCGTATAAGATAGAGAAGAATGGAAAAACAATATATTAGAGATCAATGAAATACCTGAGATTCACCCGAAATCAACAATAAAGAAAATAACAATTCATAAAGTGAATAAAAATAAAAAGTTCCCTCTCATTCCAGTGGTCAGCTGGATTTTACGTAATCACAGCGTGACCACTGGAATGAGAGGATCGGCTTGTCCGTCCTTCTCTTCCGCTTCCTTTTCGCACGATTGAAGGAGAGGAACTGAATGCAAATATTTGCTGAAAAAGTTCAGCGTGTTGAACAAACCGTGGCTGATCTCATTTCCAACATAGTCGCAGGTGTCGTCCGTAGAATTGTTGAGATCAACATACTGTGAACTCACTCCATTGGCTAATCGCCTTAAGAAACGATTCACTGATGCAGTTCGTTCCCTAAAAACGTGGAGTGAGCTAGTGAATGACAGCCGAGCAATGAGAGAAGTGTAATGACGCACGCTTAGAAAAAGGCGGCGAGAAAAGGCAAAACGCTTCAAAATTTTCCCGAAAAAAACAGCAGCTTACCTTCCATTCCAAAGATTTCTGCCAAACGGTGAAGCATCGCGAAGCCGCTGCAGCGGTGACGGATCTCTCAAATGCTGTAGGGACAGAATTGACTTCCTTTCCTAGAATCATTTGTTTGGCTGGCTTACTCACCATCGTCATCTCCACGAACATATCACAACCAAAGACATTAACGTGACAAAGACCTATTTACGACGCCAACTGCTACCGACGCTTTTAGGCGAAATGGACCTTGGGATGTACTTGAATAAAGTTAATATTAAGCGTACATCCGAATATCTTAGAGACAGCAAACGCTTGAACGCAAGACACCGCGATATATCTATATATCGACTCGATTGGAGTGAATTCGAGTGGCTCGAGTCCCGCTCGGTCGCATTGCCTGGACCTTGCGCCGCGTTCGCAAACGTGTCATCTGATCATTTTCCCACGGCTGAGCTCAGAGGCGATCGTAATCGTTAATCAGGCTTAGGAAACTGGTCAGAACCTTTCGCAAACAAGGCACACGGTGAGGAACCCGAGTCGCTCAAGTCAGGCTCACTCCAAATTAGACAGAGGCCATATGATAATTAGTACACGATCGGCATGCGCTAACAGTCGTGATGGTAGCACAGATAAGAGAGATTCTGAGACCGGATGACTTGGATATTTGGCTTCCCCTATCCGATTCGAGATATTATCTTGCGTACGTTTAGCTCGATCATTCACCAGTAGAAGTACTGTCCATGAGCAGGGTAAAGCGGGGGGTGCGGCACTCGACCGTCGGATACGACCCCCCCCCCTGATTGCTGTCTTAATAAGACCCCCCTCCTAAACTATACACTTAAGATAGTATTACCTGAAGGCTCTGTCAAACATAATGGACAACATATCCATAATTAGCATGTCAAATACCCCCTGTAGACAAAGTGTGAGCGAATTCTGAAGATTCAAGATACTAGGCTACCTAAGTGAAATGGTCAAATTCCAACATGGTTAACTTTGTTTTAAAGGTGAATTAGCTATCCGTTTTTGAACTCAAGACAAAGCACTACTCCTTCTTTGTCCACCTCAGGAATCCCGCTTCAGAAGACCTCCAAACTGTGGAATTAGAAGCCAACCAAAATCTCATTTTTCCCATTTTTCGCTTTTGATGGCTGTGCTTTCACCAAATATTACTCAGAGCTAAGAAGACGAATCAGGCTCAAAACATCCCTATGGAATCTACGAGGTTTAGGCTATCGATTCATATAAATATTGTCCGCTAAAAATGTTTTTTTGATATAGTTAATGGCCTGCGGCACCCCCCCTCAAAACCTGCGGCTGCCGCAGGGGTGCCGCAGGGGTGCCGCAGGCCATTAACTATATCAAAAAAACATTTTTAGCGGACAATATTTATATGAATCGATAGCCTAGACCTCGTAGATTCCATAGGGATGTTTTGAGCCTGATTCGTCTTCTTAGCTCCGAGTAATATTTGGTGAAAGCACAGCCATCAAAAGCGAAAAATGGGAAAAATGAGATTTTGGTTGGCTTCTAATTCCACAGTTTGGAGGTCTTCTGAAGCGGGATTCCTGAGGTGGACAAAGAAGGAGTAGTGCTTTGTCTTGAGTGCAAAAACGGATAGCTAATTCACCTTTAAAACAAAGTTAACCATGTTGGAATTTGACCATTTCACTTAGGTAGCCTAGTATCTTGAATCTTCAGAATTCGCTCACACTTTGTCTACAGGGGTTAATTGACGTGCTAATTATGGATATGATACGAATATCATGTTATCGCTATAATCAGATCACCTAACTACGACCCCTCCCCATTTGACTCCTCAATACGACCCCCCTCTGCGGCGTGCCGCACCCCCCGCTTTACCCTGGTCCATGAGCTATGCCTAAGCAGCTACAGTATGTGCCATTGAGAGCTTCACATAAGTATACCCTTTGCTTCAATCAGATCGGCGGCTGGAAGGCGGGACTGCGTGACCTAATTAAGGCTAGAAAATGATCGGAGAGCATGTTCGCCGCAGACTGCGTCGCGGACGCGAGCCGTCGCCTACTAGGTCATGAAACCTCGTCTTCCAACCGCCGATCTGGTTGAAGCAAAGGGTACGTTGCCTGCGATGCGCGCATAACGCGGCTGTGACTGAGGCTTGAGCTCTTTTCGAACAATTAAGTTGCTTCAAAAGTAAAGCCCTTTCCTAAATCGAAGTGGTTTTTTTCTGCCAGACTTAAAGCACGCTAGAACAAAGTAAGCTCTACAAAGTTCTCATAAATATCCATTTAAGTCGTAATCCCAGGTAAATCTAGAGCCTAAAAACTGGAATTTTCAGTGAAATCAGATCACTTGCAAAATTTTTATGGACCTTCAACTTGGTCATCATACAGTAGACACACAGTAATACTTATAGATAGGCTTACATTCGCTTGGTTTTTTCGCGGCTCAAAATAAGAAAGAAAAACAGCCCGAAATGTAATAATGGTTTTCTCACTCTTTCTGTTTTCCAACTTTTGAACTTGGCAGTTCTTAATTATCAGAGCACATGCAAAAGCACAATTCTAAGATTGATCTTATGCTTACTAAAGCTTGCGGTATGCAATCACGTATGTGGGGGGATCTGGGGGAGGGGAGTTGTTTTCAAATCATTTTTTCTCGATTTCGATGCTGAAAAAAAAACTCAACAAATGCTATGAATACTTTTATACTTTATGTATGCTATGTATCTTCTGTATGAGAACCGGTCTGAAGCTTCGTACCAAATTTCACGTAATGAATTTGAAAAGCTCAAGAAAGTATCAATTTTAGCTGTTTTTGGACCCTTTAGACATTGCTTCCGTAATATTTCCATATTTTAGTGTGTTGGCAACTCCAAGTTTTATTCAACTGACAAGGAGAGGATACTTACAAGGGAAGTGTCAGAACTCGCAGTGGCCTTTTGACATGAAATAAGTATTATCTGAAGCAGCTTGAAATGCTGATTCCAAAACAGCCTTTCTTAGCTACAGAACTAATCTAAAATGAGAGTTATTGAATTTAATTTGCGGGAAATTTACAACGCTGGGAATAGCCAAAAATTGAAGCGAACATTTTTTTGGGCTCAAACATAGATGAAACAGTCCATCAATGTTTAACGTAATCTTACGCCTTCATCAAAGTCATGCTGTGGTGCTTAAACAAGCATTTGAAAAGTTCCCGTGATCACAGAGTACTTCAAACAATGTAAAATTTAATGTTTAAAATGCCCATAACTCGCGACCCAGATTAGTTCTGCAGCTAAGAAAGTTTGTTTTGGAATCAGCATTTCAAGCGGTAAGGTGATACCCATCCCATGTCAAAAGGCCACTGCGACTTCTGACACTTCCCTTGTTACTCGAAAGCACCAATTCAAATGAAACATACATCATCTTAAAGCGCTTGAAACGCTAATTTCAAATCTATAGTTTCTAGCTGCGGAACGATTTGTAGAAGGAGGTATGAGGGTGTTCCCCTCTAGGTTTGAGGCGACCTCCAGCAGGTCTCCCCTTATCTATGAGCACTGTAGAGGAGTAGCAACTAGTGGCAACTGGCCTACTGGTAAGTGACTTGCCTGATAGGGAAAGTGTCAAGGTTTTAATCCCTTCGCATGCACTTTATCGCAATAGAATTAAGCTTATAAATGGCTTTGGAGCCTCAAAGCCTGACATTTCTGATGATATTGATGCTAATCAAAGTTAGAAGTGTTAAAAAACCAAAGTAATATGAGTATTATAATCCTTACTGTGATCTTCATTTAGATTACTTACCATTACACCATTTCGTGTTTCTATAATGCTCGTAGACAAGAGCCGACATCTCAATGGCGCCTCAACCCCAGAGGGAAACACCCCTCATAACTCTTTTTACAAAACCGTTCCGCAGCTAGAAACTATAGATTTGGAACCAGCGTTTCAAGCGCTTTCAGATGATGTATGTCTCCTTTGAATTGGTGCTTTTGACTAGGTATCCTCTCCTTGTGAGATACTATGACCCCATTCCACAACATTGAAGTGACCAGCATGCAGTGTGCTCAAATACCCACCTTGCTCTTAAAACGTCGGCGTTGGCGTCGTTTTGGCGGACTAATCAAGGGATCGTTAAGATCTACCTTTGCTGATAAACCATCGTCAAAGTGAGTCGACGTCGTGTGTTTCACATTGTCACCAACAGACAGCGATCGCTTTCTAGAAGGTCGCACAATGAATGCCATACCTTGTTTCCTGAACACATGGTTAGTAGAAGACAGATATCTAAGAAGCTATGAATTTTACACATGCTCTAACACACCACATCTTCCACCTAAACCATTCCGGAACGGAACTGAAATGTTCTCATATTGGTCGCAGTGATTTTGTAGAAGAATGCAAACATGATTCAATTCCGTTTCAGAATTCTACAGATCACATTGACGGCGACGCTTTGTTAGCGACCTCCTAATAAAAGCTAAAAAGGTAAGCACTTAAAGCACCTTGGTATAGATGGAAGATCAGCGAGATCTCTGTACGAAGGGTAATGACTTGGACTTGGCGAGGACGACTGCATCGTGCGGGAGCTACTAAAATTGATATAATCGAAAGACGAAAGTAAAAAATACGGAAAGATCTTTCAAACAGTTTGGAAGGGCCTTCCACCAAAATTCAGGTGATGAGATTTTGATGCGGTACAATAGCCCAGCCCCTAACTGAGTAACTGCCCTAGCTCAGCTGCAGAAGATGAACTACAAAGCGAGAAAATCGCTCCAGAAAGTAAAGGACGCAGTGGTAGCTCCGCCTATCAACTAAAGGAGTTTAGAGATAACAAGCAGAAAACTGATTTTCAATGTATCCAAAGCTGTAGAGAATGCGCCCTTCATTATACTTATCGAATTTTCGTTGATTTTAGATATACTGATGTTCGTTTTGGATTCCCTATTTTCAGACCACCCACGTTAGTGGCCGGAGCCACCATCGATGCACAGATTTGCCTAGCTCTTGCAATGAGCATAGAGGGAACACAGCTTTCCTTTTCAGCAGTCGTTTTCAAGAAAAGCTAAATCCCTTGCGTTTACGCATTATGATAGTACAAAAAGTCTTGTGATAAGTATGATGCCGCCTGTCAGAAGTTTCTGAGCGCGTGACGATCTAACCATTTCTAGAAGGTTTATGCAGAGTCAGTTCGAGGAATCTCGTTCAAGGTGGGTGGGTTTTCTCAACCAGAAAAAATTTACCAGAAAAATTTTGACAGGATTGATTCAAAGATTTGATAAAATGGGACTCAAAAACTATTTCAATTATTTGCAAGCAAAAACAGTCACAACTTTATAACTTTTCGATAAATTTCAGAAATTCCACGAACCATTTTCGGGAAATGCCCCCCCCCTCTGCCCTTCTCGGTCCGGCACTGCTGTTCCCGTAATCTCTCACGAGGCAAAGAGCATGGCTAGATCTTGCAAACGCTCCTCCGCACACTCCGATGGAAAAATGTTTGTTACTAACCTTGAGTGAGCGATGTTGGATCCTACTACGCTTGCGCCTTCATACTGTCCACCGTGTCGGGTAGAAGGTGAGCAGTAGGAAGAAACAGGCGCGGTAGAATTAGCACCCGTCATTGGCCCAGTTACATCCAAATTCAACACTTCGCCATCAGGAAGAGATGTCGATCTGAAAAAAGCTTTCGAAGCGAGAATGACTCCTCCAGACACGATGACTACTACCTTTTTCTCAAAGCGACATCATTTTCATTAGGGAATGATGAACGGACCGACGGTTGGAAGCAGTTCCTCGTCGATGAAAATGGAGGCCTTCGTATGCTTCGGCTGAACGTTCTTCTAAGTGATTGAAATGAGATTTTGCGAGTATGTGGTAATACAAAGCACGATGCAGGGGATGAAGAGTTCAGATACTTACTTATTAGTGGGTGCATCGTTTTGGCATTTCCCCGGCAAGTCTTCTTCGTTCACACTAGGCAGTTCTTTGTATGAGTTGCCCATGGATACAACTCCACCATTCATCGCCGAGTAAAAAGCACTGGATTGCGACTCGACATTAGGCTATAAGGAGCGGAACTTATGATATGTTTGCTAAGCTGAATATTAACACACGCCTACCTGAGCCGACGACTTCACAGTGCCAATTAGTCGCTTCAAAAACGATTGCTCTTTTTGCGTAGATAAAGATATGGTTGATTCACGATTGAGCCCTTAAATAGAAGATGATTGAGCAATTTCAAATAGCTACAGCAAGGTCAAAATATCACATTCGAGGGACCGCTGACCGAATCCAGAACCACGCATGGTCCTGAAGGTCGGATTTCTGGGGAAGATCTCTGGGGCAAGCGCCGGCTCTTCACGATCGTCATCGTCATCGGATAGCTCATAGCCTTCAGCATCAAGAAGCCAATACGTAGTCATCTGGCCTTTTCCCTGAACACACAGCAGTTTGCTAGCAGTAGGTTTCGCTTGTAATTGGTTGTTTCAAAAATTCTACCCATTTCTGAAGTCCCATTTCAGCTCAGCATAACGCTTGTAGAAATGATCTTTAAAGTAAAATTGTTCGCGATCTACAAATCCTTGGCAATTCTATGCATATCCAAAAATCATTGTAGCAGCAACGAGAAGGATTTTCACGCAAAAGTGTCAAACATTTTCTTCTAAGATCCTCTATTTTGAAAAACCATAGTTAGTCTAGAACGTAATGTAACCGCATAAGCAGTGCTCGTTGTGTAGCCAATAATCGATTGAGCAGTAAAGCTCTTTTTGTAAGATTTTGAGAAACTTCTTTGCCTACAAAAAAACCGGGAGGACCGGGAAATTACCACAACTGAGTAAATTTACAGTCTCAAAATTGTGCTAAGCAGGGAAGGCATCTAACTTATTGGCCGTTTTTTGGAAAATATATCATTGGAATTAGCTTCAGACGGTACTTCCAAATATGTTGTCCCCAGCTGCTGAACACATTCTGAAGCGAATTGTTGAATTTTTCCTGCAAATTTGCATTGCATACTCCTTCACCTACTGGCATTACCGTAGTATAGGCATTTTATAGCACAAATAATTAGGAAACACCAAAATTCGAAGAATTTAACAATTTTTGTCCGCGGATTGACGGCTCTAGAGCAAAAAGGCAAAATTCGACATTCGTTTTGCTGTCTTTCCAAGGTATTAAATTAGGATAAACACCTATAGCAATGATGTATTATGCAAACTAGAACAAACTTTTACAATATATAAGCAGTGTTTCTAAAAAAAACTTTTCTCCTATGGAATTAGCAAGGCAGTTCAAAAGGTGATCAAAAGGGGTAGAACTGTTGAATTAACCCAATATGAAAGCTCTAACGCACCTTGATGGATAAGGTACCGCGTTCTTCTAGTACAAAACCGGGAATGGCTGACAAAACATCTCGCGTAGGCTGTGAGCAGTGGATTTTTAGCGCTGAAAATAAATGATCAGTAAATGGCTGAAACTGTGACAATCTTACGTTCTCCATTGCTTTCCATCCTACTTGCAGTGTTTACAGTGTCACCAAATAAGCAATACCTGAAACTCGCCAAATACATTCATCTCGAAGCGAATAGGTGGTAACAATGAATGATACCTTGGCATGGTCTTCCCCACTACTCCGGCAACGCAACTGCCGGTGTGGATGCCGATTCGTAGCATTAGTTGTTCACTAGGCCGATGAGGAATTTTAAAGTTTCGCACGGCGCGCAAGAGTCGTAAGGCCATAAGAGCTAAAAAGAGGAAATAAGAAAGGTCCAAGAATGGCACCGTCCACCCAAATTGAGGTTTTTATATGATGGCGGGGCAGTAATAAGCAAACATCGAAGTCTTGCTGCAAAAGATGAATTCCAGAGCAAGAGAAACGCTTCCACCCAGAAAGGGAGACGGTCAAGAGACGCGATTTCTCCGGGGAGTCAAAAGCGAACAGCTCAGTTTAGAGCGCGAGTCTTTCAAGAACACCAGACAAAGTGCTCTGGTTTATTAAGCATCTGGAGCTACCACCTGCTAATTTTGACGGCTTTTGGTGGAAACTTGATTGAAATATTCACGAAAACGCCATTAATTGTTTCAAAAGGCTTTTGACCTCCAACACTTATGTTCTGAATCTAGTTTAGAATAGTAAGATTGAGCAACCCATGCGACGATCATAGTATCTATAAAAAATTGAATCGCTGCTAGAACATCATGAGATACTAAAAATGCGCTAATTCGTATCCATCTGGCAATAAAAATCTTGGCGCCTCTTGACATACACCCCTCCAAAAGGTAGACAGCTATGCTGGCTCCGCCATCAGCATGTGTTGTCCGGAGATAATGAGCTTGAAAGCGGGACTGGAGATAGAAATGTCGCAGTTTCGATGAGCATGATGAAGGGAGGGTCCACGCAGTTCTGGATAATTAAAGCCCAATTTGGACTTGTTATCTTCAAACCACCCACGTTGATGGGCGGGCTGCCTCTACCTTCTGGAGCGGTTTCCTCGCTTTGGAAAACATCTTTTACAGTGAGATTTGGGAGATTGCTCAATTAGGGCCCCGCTATCATAGAGCATCATTGAAATCTCAACGCGCTCGATTTGGATGGACGTGCCTCAAACATGCTACTTACCTATCTCTTTCGCGTGGAACTGAGTCTCCTTGAAGTTAGGCACCCCAGACACAACCATATAAGCATCACCGATGGTTTCCACCTTATAACAATGAGCTCGTCATTCACAACATGAATTAAGTCAATCCACTTCATGTATTACAACTTACCTTGTATACGTCATATTTTTGAATAATCCTATCAAATTTTGTATATAGTTTGTTCAGGAAGGTCACAACCTAAAGTGAGAACATAAATATTCAGAAGTGCTTTTTACTTCATACCTGCATGGGAGTGGATTCGCCAGATATTCGCGTGAAACCTACAATATCCGAAAAATAAATGGTAACAGAGGGGAATGATTCCGGCACAACATCTTGACCATTGAGAAGTTGTTGAGCGACACTCCTGGAAGAAATAATAAGTTTTGACCATGCAAGCAGGGTGGTCGCAGTGGCGGTCCGAAAGGTTTTTTGAGGGAGAGGGGGGGGGGGGGGGAGAGCACACCATTTTTTTATCGTATGCATAGGCGTGGCGAAAAACTTCTTGAAATGCTTTCCAAAATTCTTGTAGGTATCCCGAAGTTCTGAAAAAGGGGACTTACCCACAGCGCAGCTCCCAAAAAATCCCTTTCGCACAAGCTTATTTGATCTCTAGACAAATCTGAGTAATTCCAATCATTACTACTAATGAGACAAACCACTTAAACAGGTTTAAAACCCATGAAAGCTACTTTCAAAAGTACTACCTCCCCCCTTTCCGCTCTCCCCTCAGTCCGCCACTGGTATAATGGAAAACCAATGGATGAATACCTTGGTAACATCCTCTGTAGCAAATGCTGACTTCGTTTCTGCTCCTCGCGTAGTTCCGCAGTTCGCTCGTCGACCAGATCTTCTAGCTGATTTTGATATTTCTCCATCATCACCATCATATGGTCCTGCAACTCATATTCAGCTCTGACCTGATACCTACGCAAACAGTGAGAGATTTAGCTACCATGATGTTCCTTTTGTAGATTCCAGCAAACATTGGCTTCAACCTCTGCCGGATGCCACTTTTGAAATCAGGACGATTTTCCGGATATTCTGACCAACATTGGCGCATAGTCTCCGTGACGTAATCCTGCCCTTCGATACAAGAGAGGTTTGGCCGACTGCAGGTGCCACCGGCTACTCGTGCAACAATTTCTGCAAATGATTGGATCAGGAGAAGGGTAAGAAAACAGAATGAACTATTAGGGGCGGGGGAGCGAAGCTAAGAAATGATTTCGATTTATAAAGCTGTTATTCGGTCAAATTTCTTTGTGGGAAGGCAGTTCCAATTCTCTACTCTTGAAAATCAAGCAATTAAAGTTTTCCGTTACACATCAATAACAGTGGTGTCCCTGTATGGCTAACATTCCGAAGTATCACTTTTCTGACTTTCTTAAGTTTGTTCCGAATATGTAATGCTCAGACAATCCGCAAAATACTTACGGGGAAAACTGAACTTCTAAAACTTCCGAGGGGACACTCCTATTGAAGCTGCCAGATAGGGCGCGGCCAGGTAGGGCGGGGTCCACCCACGCGGCCCAATAGGAGCGTCCGCCCCGGAAGTATTAGAAGTTCAGTTTTTCCCCGGAAGTATTTTGCGGATTGTCTGAGTGAGTGGACAATCGAGTTATTTGGTAAATAGATATATACAAGCTTTGCTACACGGTCACCATGATGAAGATTGCAAACTGCAATTTGAGACTTCCTTTAGTCAAGGATACGAGAATTTGACATTTGCGAGCATAAGCCAGTTTTTGGGTACAGATCGCTCAAGTTTGTACTTATAGGTCAAATCGTTGCAGATATCAAGATCTTGTGAGTGCGTGCAATATTCATGTTTTAAACACTAAACCCTAATCTTTCATTTTTGCTACGTGCTTCTCCAAAAAATTGGTGAAAAAATCTTGATTTTCCACTTTTCTGCACTTTTTCAAGAGAAGTCATCAAGAAATAATACCTGCTCAAGCAAAGTTGACCAAATGATTCTCTCCAATTTACTCTTTCCAATAATTCCATATACTCATGGAGGAATCTGTTGGTAACAATTCTATAAACCGTCAAAAACGACCAAAATTGTTTGTTAGAGGGCCTCATAAATTAAAACTCTAAGTATTAGTGATTATAAATAGAAAAGTGACTGACCTGGCACTTGAGCATCGGTTTTAGCGAAAATTTGGAATGGCCCTTGGCGAGTGAAGATCTCGTGTAGGATTATACCGAATGCATAGACATCCCCTTTCTGAGTGCCTGAATTGTTAAATGTACGCAACTCGCTCTTGTGTGCTTAATATGTTTTGACTGCATTTATCAACTTTCATAGGCTCCTTACCTTTGACGGAATGCTTCAGTTCACTCTCGCGTAACAACTCCGGCGCACACCAAAGATAACTCATCCACTAAATATCATCAATAATTGACAAGCTGTGCTCAGAAATCACCCTACCCTAGCTTCTTCGCTCTCCCACTGTCTTCCTTCACGAATCTCATGATGTCCGAAATCTGCAATTTGAAGAGCCCAACGCGAGGTTATCAAGCAGTTCGTCGATTTCAGATTCCCGTGCACCTTGAGCTCAGAGTCATGTATGTACACCATTCCCTAAACAGCCGCATCATGTAAGAAAAATCATGAATAGAGAAAGAATTACAAACATTGATAAGATCTTCCACGAACGACGCGATGTACAAATGATCGAGTTTGAACTCGCGGTTTTGCAAGATGTCCATCAAAGAACCCTTAGCACAGAATTCGCGAACAATGCATATCGAGTATGGACAAACGATGATACCTGAAAAACTCCCAATTTATCTCCCAAATCACTCTGTGAATTTACAAAGCTTACCCATAAAGGTGTTGATGTTGGGATGAGTTAGTTGTCGCATAACTCTCATTTCTATCTTAGCCTGCCTAGTCAGTTCGCGAGGTTTCCGTGAGAAAGTCAATTCTAAATGAAATGAGAACTATTATAAAAGAAACTTTTGAAGGAGATGAATGAGATCTATCTATTTATAGCTAGAAAGTCCGGACCCTTCCCCCTAGTCTTTCAATTTAGAAAAAAAACGCAAATATTAGATCATTCCAAAAGTGATTTTGTAATGAACGTCACATGTGGTAGAACAGATATTCCTAAAAAATCTTGGTAGCATTCGAGGCAGCACTTCATCCTCTTTTTACTGGTCATAAACCCAATGCAGCATGATCATTGGAAAATTACCAAGAGACACGATCCACGGTTTTATTGCTAATTTTCTAATGTAAGCAAACCCTTCGGGATGCAAAACAATTTTTTTTCTCCCCATTAAATTTTTTGCCTATAAAAACCTTCAAACTCCTTGCTCAGATAACCGCAGCAGATAAGAAAGGTATTAGATTGGCCCGAAAGTTCTTTCGCACCAAATTCAAAAATTCATAACTTCTGATTTTTCCAACCGATTTGACTACTTTTACTTTTGTATGAAAGAGCAAGTCATGCGCTTTATAATGACATCTTAGCTTCTTGCTACTGATCATGTGTTGCATAGATAGGCAATAGAAAAAAATTGGTCAAAATTTGAATTTTCTGTGTAGGGTCATAAAAAATCGGCAACTTGCAACAAAAATCGGAGCAGTCGGTACTGTAGATTATTTCACCAGCTCTTTCTAACTGTACAAAGTTTGCATTGATTGAGCGTCTCTATGAAAAGCTACGATTTTCCAGCAAGCAATACAAAAGGGCGAATTGATTTATTTTGGCATTTTTCAGGGAAATCATAACTTTTTATAGAGAGGAATCGGCGCAAACTTTGCACTGTTAGAAAGGTGAAAGAACCTATAATACTAACTGCTCCGATTTTTACTGCAAGTTTTAGATTTTTTATGGCCCTACATAGAAAATTCAAATTTTGACTAAATTTTTTCTACCGCTTCTGTCTATGCAGAGTATGCTCAAGAAAAAGCCCCCAAAGTACCACTATGAAGAGAATGAATTGCTCTTTCAGATAAAAATAAAAACATGCAAACCTGCTGGAAGAACCGGGAGATATGAATTTTCGAATATGGTGCAAAAGACTTTCGGGTCAACCTAATATATTTGGAATCAGCGTTTTCAAGTTAATATGCGTCTCATGCAGAAAGGCCACTTCGACACCTTCCTTCCCTTGTGATTCGACTACAATGTCGTAGAACAGCAAAAGGGGGCAACTCGGAGTTGCTGTAGCTTTTCCTCTTCTTTCTAACTCATGTTTCTTTCTTCCCGATTCGTGGAGTCTTCGGAGATATTAATATAATTCATATTCATCTTTTCGAACGCCCGCGGGCTGGGCCCGAAAAAAATTTGATATTTTGAATCTGTAAACTTTCATTTCTTTGCAAAATTAGTCCTAAATTAGATACCATTTTAGAAGTTTCAAATTTCGAAGAATTAATTGTGTTTGATGCGATTGTGACTGAAGTAAGTCTGCCAACATCCGACGGTTCCAGTAAAAAATCTTTCAAAAAATTATGGCGAGACATGAAAAAGTTGCGCTGTTTCCTCTAGAGTTTACTCTAACGACTCGTTACCTGGACTCCTTCGGAAGGGCTGATATAATAGTTTAGAAAAATTGTGAAAACTTGGAAATTCCAAAAAGCACGGGTCGCAGATTTTAGTGACTTTCTCGTATCTCATTGGATGACTGCAATGGTTTTGTGACCTCTAGAGATAGGATGAATTGCTGTAATCAATGCTATTGAGACTTAAAGATTCTTGTTTTACGAAATGTGGCGTTTATTTGCAAAAAGTGAAATTACGGAACGACCTAATAGATAACCAACATACCTTTCAGCGCAACAAGAGTCCCCTTGTAATAGGCGACACCTCTTAGCCCAGAGCCTTTCTTCTCGCCATCTTGTCCAGTGTACCAAGCGTGCTCGCCCATCTGAATACAACACTTAAGGAAGGATACCAGTAACTGTGGTTATTTGAGATCAAAAGTAAACCGCTTGCAGGCCTTGGAATGCTGATGTCAGAATTGTTTTCCATATCTGCCATTTAATATGACAAAGTTATGAACATTTTTCACTGCGCCCGCATAGCACTATAAGCACTAGTGACAATTTGGGAAATTTCGTCAGGGGGTTGGTCGAGAAGTTCTCGAATGAAGGTGTGTGGCATTCACGATCTCCGAAGGAATTTTTGGGAAGCTACCAACTTTTCAATGGGCCGATAACCCCAAATATCTGAAAAAGAAGACTTGGCGTCACTACGCCCCAAATATTGTTTACAAGGTTAGTGAAAATTTTTGAAAGTTTCAAATCAACTAATCGCAAGTATTTGTTGTGAATAATTTGTATTATACTTAGACAGAGTGAGTCTATCCTGAAGAAGCATTCAGAGCAAACGCAAAACTGTGGCGGCAAAAGGAATGAAGCAAAACACATCACCGAACCTAGACCACTGGCTGAAAAGGTGGGAGAGAACTTGAGCATTGTAATTCTTTAGTGCTAAGCAGGTCCTATGGAGCAAATTGCCCTTAACTTTGTCAGGGTACCATTTCGTAGATGTGCTTTGCAATTCGTTTTCTGCAGTATTTGAAGTAGCGCAGGCTCCCACATGTATCTGATTTGTAGAGCAAGAGATCCGCAGCTTTATAAAGAAATATCGCAAAAACTTCAATAAAATGGCTCTTACATCATTTCCATCAGAGAAAAGTGATGTTGTAGAAGTGTTCCCTTGCATGAGACCCTGGATTTCACGAACATCAATCTTCCATATCATGGCTAATTCTTTTTCGAACTTGCGGCTCCTTAACAAATGATATCAAACTGTTATGCCATTAGAAGTGATTCGCACCTATAGACGAATCCTGCTGAGATTGCTCCACCGATAAGAATAATAAAGAACAGCACAAACGATACCAAAGAGATGTATCCTGAATTAGGGCCGTCAGCATGCTATAAATATTTACAAAAATGTTCGCACCTCCATAATCGCGGCACAACTCCCCATGGAAACCACAATCTGGTTGATCTCTTGTAGGACCATCTATCCACATGATCGGTTTATTGAAGCTAAACAAAAAAGGGGATTTCTCACCAATGATGATACGACAATTTAGTACTTACAGAAGCTTTGGCATGTTGTTAGTTCCTTCTCCACCATCAACAAACATTGCTGTGATGTCTAAGGCGTGATCAAGCGGATAATAATTGCCATCGTGTTTATTTCGCACAGGTTCCACCTGAAAAAAAGGTAAATGAAAGGATACTGCTCAAATGTAAATTTCAAACGTAGGTCTAGTAAAATCTTTGAGGAAAGTAAAATACAGGGTGTCCCAAAAAATGGGCCTACCGTTCGATTGTTAATAACCCTCTTGGGATGAAGTTTTTTTTAGAGGAGCTCTAAGGAGTATTTTAAAGATGGCTTCAACTTAGATTTGCAGTAGAGAACAAATCACCCATCTCTCATCATTATTGTAAGATTACGATAGAAACTTTAAAGAGGGTTTCGAGCCATGAAAGGCCATACTTTGCCTCAGAAAGGAAACAAGACAAACTGGGCTAGTTAGAATTGCTGGTTCTACATGTGAATTTGGCAACTTATCATGATGCTTCATTGAAAACATAAGAGAGGTAAGCAGTAGCAGCCGTTTTTCTAATGCTCCCAAAAAGTACTACATAGTGCTGCTATCTAAAAAAAAATTTTTTTTTGGCAGTCACATTTGGCATGCATCAATTTCGCGTAGATTTACAGAAACAAAGAATTCGTGAAAAGCGTCAATCTGCAACAAAAAATTCCCCTTTACCGCATTTCCATCACGAAAACATCTCAAAACACAATTGACACTTATTGCTTACTTGGAGCACTGTGACGTTCTCCGAAAGTCGAGACGTTTTTGTTGGAAAAGCGCAGTAGTAAGGAGAACTTCCCCGCCAAATGACATTTTCACGTATTGTTTGTTTCTGCGTTTCCACGAGAGATTATACTTGGAGCTACATAGCTAGCTGCATTCTGGTATTTACAACCAACAAAATCAGATCTGGTCTGCAGTTCTTAGATGCTCGGTACTCATTTTAGCCAGAGAAAATTATTTAGATGAATATCGTAGACAGGAAATCTTTCCCTATATTTTGAGAATAAACGCATGGATATAGGTTTGTGGTTTGAAAAAGTGATTCTTTTGAATTAAAGAACTGAGGCAGCATTTTCTGCCACTCCCAATCAAAAGGAAGATGACAAGCTAGGATTTTTCCGAATAGCTCAATTTTAGCAGCTCATTCATGATTATAGCGTCCCAGCCACATCATTACATCAAATTGTCGTTTTCGTTAGCTTTAGCACATCAAAGGTAAAGGCTACATGAAAGTGTCATTGTCATCATTTGATTTGAGTACAGTATACAAGCCATCGCTATGGGTGAAACAAAACACATGTAAAACAAAATTGAAAGAGAGAAGGGTTTACCGCTTGCCACGAGAGTAAGGTGTAATTCCCCTTGGCATCACCATGCTCGTTAATACGCATATCGAATCCCTGCATGCCTGAACATAATCGACAATAGAACTGCGAAAATAGCACCGTAGTGACACTTACTAGAATACTTTCTGTTCAGGATCTTCTTTATTATCGCCGTTCCATCTCGAGTAGGGTCATAGCCGTGTGCTTGCCGCTCATAGGTCTCCTCAATAAGTTCATGCAGAGCTCTAGCATACAAGTACACAGCGTCGTAGAGATAGCAAGCAAACCGGTTGACCTAAATATCAAGATAATTCCTAAAATCATGCTGATAAAATGAGAAAGCATACCTTTATCGACCAGGTATGTTCATGTTTGGTGATTCCGAAGTTCGACAGATCCTTCACCGCTTGTTCCCAGAATTTCTTGAACCTGATAGAGTATAAGTCTTGTAGTCACGCGGTATAAAAACTTTTATCAGCGTTAGGCAACTTAGTAAAGTGAGTAGACGATAAATATATTGCCCTTGCGCGCCGAGAGTGGGTGGCAAAATTTGCACGTGAACAAACAGCTGCGCCCAAAATGCCGGATTTTCGCACGCGCAAAATGGCGACATTTCAAGTGTAGCTATTTTTTGACGCGCACATTCTATCGCCCAATCTTTGTAACGCAACGGCACTATATCTACCGTCATATCTACTTCGACTCCACTTGTTCGAAAGTTTTGCCTATTCACCTGTCCGAATTCAGCTCAACTGGCGTTGGAATGATAGCCAGTGCCGCCCGTGAGTATCCTATGATACGGTGGTCGGAGGAATTCGTGACATCCCAAGAAGATTGCAAGTCGATCATGGTGTCTGAAAAGACTTTCTTAAAAAATGAAATAATGTTGGAATTAAGAAAAGCAAATTAGTTTCTCTCAAAGTCTTAAATCTCAGAAAATCTGGATTTTTTTGTAAAACTGCCCACAGTTTCACATTTCTTGGGATTTAGAAGGTACAAACATTGGGATCAAAAGTCGTCCTAGATACCTATGCTCTCGAAGAATATTGTCTGAAAATTGAGTTTCTACCTTTGGACATTTTGGTATTGTAAATGTGTTCTTTCTAAGGTCAGCGTTTTTCAGAAAATTTTTCTTCAGAATTGAACTAATGAAACACAAACGAACTTCTAAAAAAATGATTATTCATTGCATGGTAGACATTGAGCCAGTTATAATCGGCATCCAAATATATGAGAAGATATTGCTGTGAATCGGTCAAACCCAGCTTCCCCATCGACATCAGAATCTTTCGAAACAGTCGTACATTTCCGAATGTAACGTACACTGAAAATCTCTTCGAAGAAAAAACTTTCCAAAAGCAGTTCTTTGCACTCACATCTCGTCATATCCTTTGTCTGTTCGATAACGCTATCGATAAGTTTTTCCGACTGCACTTCACTGAACCGGACTACCTTCGACACATTTTGCACCGAATATCGTGTTTCATCCGCTTCCATATGAATGTTCTCCGAATCAATTGCTTGCTAAATACGTTAAATGATAGAAGAGAAATTACAATAATATCTCTACACCAGTTTATTTTCTCCATAGAAGCAAAAGTATCGGTGCTTCCGAAAAAATAACAAAGTAAAAGGTACTGAAGATTTGCTAACCCGAAGTGCCAGATACAGCTCCTCGTGTGCAGGATGTTCTTCATATATGATCGCAAACTTCTTCCAGTTATGCTCTCGGCAAAGTGCAATGAAGGCTTTCACGATATCGGTCTCAGCCGGGACTGTCCGAGCAAATGTGTTGTACCTTAAACGTGAGATTGTTGACCACGGGTTGTTTGAAAGCCTTCATAATGATGACATTGAAGTGTGAGCTGCAGCAATGAAATAGACTGAAAGCTTACTTTTTTGTGTTAAATAAAAAACTGAGTCATCGCTACGCAAAGCTTATCAATATGTAAGGTATCCCCATAAAACATCATGAAAAGCCACTGCCATATCGTACTGCAGCAACTATACCCGAATCGCACTTTATTAGGACTTATGTACAAGTCCTGTTACATTTGACAGCATGTATTTTCATAACTTGCTCAAAAGATCTTCCCGATTCTCGATTCAACCAGAGAATTGCAGCTTTGCCCAATTATACGTGATGCAATGGATGTTCGAAATTTTTAAAACCATTTTTGGCAAATTTCCAACTTGCCTTGGTAAAGGGCTTGAAATTTTGAACCATCTTTGTAATTGTATCGATCAAAAAAATAGGAAAATTTTTCCGTTTGAAAAAATTCAAATAGATGAAAAAGAGGCTAAGTGTATTGAAAAGTATATGGATTGAATCCCCTTGCATTTACCTTGTTTCAAATCCTTAAAGTAAAAAATGACACCAGTGGATAATTCCATGCCCCTTACTGATCGTTACTATGTTAAATTTGAGATTTTTCCGAAAATTTGAAGTTTTCTAGGCGAATGCGAAGAAGATGTGACAAAACCTACATTAAAACCTGGTACTTCCTGTAAGTAAGCCATCTTTAGGCTCTCAAACTCGGCTGAAACTAATGGTCGGCAGATGCAAATCTCATTTTTGGCAGCAGCACAATGGGGAAACAAAGGGCGGATGCACTTTTTGTATTCTAGTGCACGGCATGCTATCGCTATTCTAAAGAGGCTCAGCACGAATGTGCACTTTTATTGCAGCTATACGATAGACTTGCATATGTTAGCCTGAAACATTTGAGAGCACAACCAAATAGTCAATCCGTAGTCTCAGCATGAGTGGAATGCTATCATGCCATAAAAAATAAATGCGAAGTGAATATAAAGACACTCCAATTTCGGTCTTAGCAACCAGTGTTTGCGAAAATGAAACACTCATTTCATTACAGATAAAAGGTCTGACTTTTCAAGGATGGTTGAGCTCGAAAAACTGATTTGTATACTATTTATTCAAAACAAGTTTTGGTCAACGTAACATAGAAATTAACGCAATGGACGTTCTTGTCTTCGCTGCCAGATGATACGCTTAAGATTAGAGATGAGTGAACTATAAGAATGGATGCTATAGCCTTCACATACAAGTTGTCCCACAAAAATGCGCACACTGTTTGGTCGTTAATATCTCCTGCTTCAAGTCTTTCGCCGATCTCTAGCTCCATTCTGTAGAGCTGGATCCAACTTAAATTTACAGTATGGAGCGAATCATCGATCTCTTCGTTGCTTTAGGATTACGGTAGGAGCCTCCAGCATACAGAATCATAGTGAAATAGGAGTCTGACAAAATTTTTACAAAAAATCTGCAGAACTATATACTAGGATCCACATGCTGATTTCACTACAGCACGTTTTAGATTTTTTAGACTTTTTCACGGTGTAATCACATTTTCGGCGAACATGAGAAAAGCATTTGTTATGGATGAACTGGAGTAACTTAGGAAAGAATTATAACAGTAAAGTGCAAATTTTATATCTGAAATCAGCGGTTGCGATTAGCCTAGTATAAAACTTTTTGGCTTGATTGGATTTTTTTCTGAGGTGGCTCGCAATGGCCTAAAATTCTCATCGAAGTTCCTACTGTGATCCTACATTAATAAAAAGCGATCGGTAATTGGCTCCACTGTAAATCTAAGTTGAATCTTGGTCTACAGAAAGGTACCTAAAGATCGGCGAAAGCCATATTGCAAAAGAATTATTAAGGATAAAGCAATGTGCATTTTGGGGACACCCTGTATATTACGAGAACACTTTTTCGAAACAAAAGTTAACAGATAGTGCACCGTCAGTGCCATCTCTTACATGAGCTTGATGCTAGATAATTACCATTTACTGCATTATCAAACTCCTCAACAACAAAAAAGAGATACCCAGGTAAACCTCTTGCTAATAAGCAAGTATTATACTTACTTCTTTTTATCAGAAACAGTCTGATCTTTGCATTTGTAGCTGATTATTGGCAAGTTTTGCGCGGCTGCCATAGTAGCTTCAGTTCGACAGTTCATCTCAGGTCCAATAAAAACACGTGCTCCCATTTTCCAGTGGTCCATGAAGTACTGTGTGCCTAAAATATGCCATTTGAACTGAAAAAAGCAAATTTTTGAATAAATTCTAACTTTGTTTTTCTTTGCCACATGTATTGTCAAATATGTAGGATAAGTGATGATTGGGTAGAAGATTTGGATCCGCATTTATTTCATTCACAGCCACATGTAAAGCTCCAGAAATCATCGACCCTACAATCAAATGCCGTAATGAACAAACATTCAGTAGAAAATGCAGGACTGACCGTCAAAATCAGTGCTAAAACAATTGAACATATTGTAAATCTGTTTGATGCGTTCATCATGAAAAGGTGAAGAAGAGGATGAAGAGTCGGAGCCTCTCGTCTGAAATCGGAACATTTTTAAAGTGCAAGCAAGTGCTGCAAGAAATTTACCCTTGCAATACTAATGGCTTTCATAAGTTCTTCAGGTTGCTCGTCCAGCCTTGATACAGCGGCTAGGTAGCTAATTAGAATTTCGTTGTCCCTAGTAGAGTTCGGATCGAGAAGCTAAACATTACGAATGAGGTCATTACGGTTTTTGTATTTTCACCGTATTCAGCCACGATTTTTATCTTTCGAGAAAGACGGGATTGTTTTTTTTTTGGAAAAGCGTTTAGTTTTGATGGCCAATACAACATCAACCAAAGCCTTCAATCATTAAACGAGCAGGATTTGCACATATTGCATCGCATCTCCCTTCCCCCTCTCCACCCAAAATGAGATTGATATTTGTTCATGAAAATATAGAAATTCGAACTTGCAATCAGGGGCTGACAATGTTCCCAGTATAAATAGATTTGTGATATCGTTAATTCCAATATACTACGTCAAAACGTAACCTCTACTACAATTTTGATGTTCCTCTGTAGCACTGAAGATTTTGGCAAAGTGTCATATTCAGAACCTATGAAAAGGGACAAAAGGCTAATCAGTTTCATCATTTTCCTTCAGACATGAGTTACTCCGATATAAACCAGCTTCCACTTCAACCTCCATTTTCTGCTTGTCTTCAATAAATTTCTCATTCTTCTTTTCAAATTTTTAGACTAGTTACAAATTCTCGACAGCATCACCAGGGCTTATGAACAAGTTCGAAAACTTATGCTATTCACTAAAGCAAGTTATTTGCCATAAGAAACCTGCGAAATTTCGAAGAAATTTCAGAAACTGATTTTCATGTGTAGTAAGTGTCTATCGAAAGTCTACGGCAACCCATATAAAGACGTAGAATGTTTTCAATAGATTATAATCCGATTTTCCTCTATGTGTAATGAAACCGATAACCGAATTATTATTTCCCTTTCAAAGATGATAAAGAAGTCAACGGTATTATCTTCTGTTCTGATGACGTTTTCGACGCTGATGAAATAAATGCATTACCGCATGAAATCATTGCACTAACACAAAAAGCTTCGTCAATATGAATATTACTTTTTAAGATTCATTATGCGGTGTAATGGGACTATACGTCAAAAACCTTAGATTTAAAATCCCTCTTGAAGTCGAAATTTGAAAGTGAAATTTTTTGTTTTCTCAACAGCGCTGTTTCTTTTGCAATTCAACGAAAATCAAAGACTTACCGCACCAACGCTCGGAGGAGGTTCATGTCCGTCAAACGGTTGACATCTTAGCAACCGGAGCAGTAACAATATAATTAAAGTGGGGTCAAGAAGAAACCCGTCACGCATGGTTAAGTTGATTTACATGCAAGCATTGCATCAATTCTGAAACAGGTGAAATGCGAGGATGTGGCAAAACGCTCGAGATCGATAACGAGGCGAATATATTGCGATAACAAACATAGGACGTCATAAGTCCAATTAATGCATAGCGCTTCGCTTCATAGCCTCAATATGGGTAAGTGCAACAGATTCTGGATATAGACAAAAAGAAACTTGAGTAAGAGCTCTACTAATGCATTAAGTCAATCGTATGCTTGAATCTAACGCAACTTCATAAAGGTGATAATTTATAAGTTTATAGATTAGTGGCTACTGAAGCAGACATTTCGTAGATCTAGGAAATGTGATCAAATGAAAGACGGATTATCTCACCACATCCATGTTTGGACCAGAAATTCCCCCAGAAATACTGCTGCAGCTCCCACATTTTTATGCCTTATAATTCATCGTCTACACTAATGATAATGCAGTCATGATAGCGCGTTCTGCGCAATGAATAGATATAAAAAGTGAGACCAATTTTTTGCAAAAAAAAAAATCGACACAAGAACTAAGGATGTGGTTACAAATTTTGAAAAACACGAACGCATAGATTCATACCGTTGATGGTGTGGCTAGTTACTTTGAAACTTTAAAAAAAAATCCCGTTGATGGTATGGATCCGCCCTTGATCAAGCTGACTTCAATCATAAAATCAAACGTCACCCGTCTGCCATTTCCCTCCCCTTCAGGTAAGAGCGCAAGATTGGAGATTTTTTTATTGGAAAAAAAAAGAAGAGAGCCAAGAAAAAATGGTAATTGAATGGAAAAGGCTAGAAAATTTTGAAGTTTTGATGTAGAATAAATCAAGATTCGGGAGTGGCTGCAAAACTGAGAGGAAATTTGGCTGAAGCTAGAGTCCTTAGAACTTGTATATAACAATGGAAAAGCGCTGATTTCGCTTTTTATTCTGGCAAAAAAAAACGGCAGGGTAGAAGAGAGGTAATAAGTTCCTTCATTTCATAAGCAATCGCTTAAAAGGTCGAAAATTGAAAAATCACGATAATGAGATGGGCAAGTTGAAGTGCTTTGGAAAGAGGTTGTCGAGAAATACTGGCTACTCCTGTCTGTTCTACTGAATGAGGAGACGTCTGAAAAGGTTGCACTTGTTCTAGAATATCTGCTCCAAAGTACGTGCAGATAAGAGAGTCAAGCGGGCTTCCTACTTCTTGCTTCTTTGACCTTTGGATTGGCACATAAATGGAGAACGTTAGAGAGTTGTGTGCAAGGCTTCAGCTATCTTTATGATGCGATTGACTTTTTGAGATGGTTCGCATGGCAACGCTTTCGTCGCAAACATCGAAATATTCGCTGCAGCCGTGCAGCCACAGCAAAGTACACACCGAGCGCCCGACGCTCGACACGGGGACCTGCGCGGAAAAACGTGCAATGCAACGGCGTGCACGTGAACGCGCAAGTTGCATTTGCACTGAAGCGGACGGTGTGCCGAGCGAAAGAAGCGAAAGACTCAAGATTAGAAAGTCAACGCTCGCTGCAACGCTGCAAATTTATTGTCGATCGCTTGGCGAGTGTCGGAGAGATGTTCCACTTTGTGACAGCCCTACAGTAAGCGAACGATTGCTTTCACCGCATTCGAAGTGAAAAAGAATATAACGAGAGTCACATCAGTGACCTTGCAGAGATAATGAGAACTTCTTTTTAGTTAAAAACCATGCAGATCAAATTTGCAGATGGCGTGCAAGCAGTGCAATGAATTAAAGGAGCAAAAAACAATATACTCTTGCTCATGCAATTTTTTCTTACTATGACCCTGACTCCTTAGGAGGAGAAGATGAAGAAGATAAACTGGGATCACGACATCATTCAGGAACCAGAAAAGGAAGTAAGCAAAAAAGGCCCAAACTACTTGTGTACAAGTATGTTCAGTGTTTCCAAGTTGCATGACTGCAGATGATGTACATGAAGCTAAAAATACGATACGGCTAATGAAACAAGCACTTGGAATCAAGAACAGTAATCCTTAACTGGAAAAATATCATAGCTTGTGTGTCAAAGCAGTAAAAAATTCTCTAGTCTTTGTTTAGCACCTGAGTAGAGATCAAGACGAGATTTCTTGTTGTTTAGCAGTAAAACCGGCAAGAGACACGTACGAAGGAGTCTCATAAAGTACCGACAAGGAGGGAAGGCATTAAGGTTCTTAAATAGCAGAAGAATACCAATCATTGAAGAAAATACTCGCGATAAGGAGAACGACGACAACGGCCAAAATTAGCCCTCAATGAGTATGAAAGGTATAAAAGTTGACAAATGTATAATTTGCAGGGATAGCAGATCACATAATTCTGTAATGCTTACAAGGGAAGAAACAAGGTACAAGGGATCGCATAGCCAGTATTCAGATGAAGTTTCAGTTAGTACTGCGGGAAACGTTTAGGCGTTTTCTAGAGGTTGAAACTTACTCCCATAAAGAAATTGAGAGCATGTGGATGTGCAGCTTGCCAAGACTCGATGATGTGCGTAACTCGAGAAGATACGCTTTCCAGAAAAAAAGACTTTATTACAAGCACAGTATTCTAGCTCCAGCATGTTCTTTACATCCAGTATTTTCCTCTTCATATAACTGCTTCGAATCAACCGGCTTTACTTCACTTTACTTATAAACTTAAGGTGTACCATAAAAGAAAGAAACAAAGACTACAATGTAGGCATTCCTAACCCGACAGAGGTCTAATGGCATGTATGAATGATAAAGACTCAGACCCATAAATTCTGCAAATCCGCTTCCCAAAGATTAGCAGAAATGCAGGGAAGTTCATTTGATCAAAGACGACTAAATCTTCCTTCTTCTAAAAACTTGAGTTGCGATATTTTTCAAGCCGCATCTGATATAATAAATCTTCTTTCTGCTAGCTGTTTAAACCCTGGCATTTCTTTCCTTTCGAATTTCACTCGGTAGTGAGCAGCTGATAATATTTACTTAGGATGTCATATATAATAGTTGAGATATGGCTAAGGCAGCACTTCCTGAAGTTAGTAATTTCAAAGAAGATCGAGAGCTTAGCGAGAAATCTTTGGATCCCCCCTATAATTCTTCAGTTGCGCATTTTTTCTCCCAAAAACAAATTGCGGCGAAGGTGCTATGGAAATGCTGGACTCGAAGTGTGTTGCATTGCACTATTACTTTTACCTGTGCGTCACAGACTAATTAGGGCCAGGCCCCACCTTCACGTGTTCCAAAAGTGATTTGCCTTGAGAGTGCAGTGCAAGCGATTCTGCTAGTTTTGCAACCTCCTCAGGATCGTTTGCACCCGCTGTTTTTCAGCCTTTGATACAGTAGGAACAACACTTGAACTCTCAGGAGTTTTTTTCCCTCTTGCCCAGTGTCTCCGCACAGAGAACGCTCTTTCTTGCATTACTTCCTTCATCGCCGTCTGGCTCTGCAGGCTCTGCAAATGCAATGGTGGCACTAGAACCCCTCTAATGATCAATGAGGCAATTTCTTTTGCAGACCCCAATACCGTAATTCGTATGCAACTGGTGCAATTAGATGCAAAAGGCTTTTTTCAAGTTACATGAATTCCCTGGAAACGCTGCAACAATATAAAAGCTGCATATTGACCTCCACATTTGGATGGAATACATTTCGAAATGGATGGTAAGTAACCTTCAGTCAAAAGAAATGGGCAAAGCCCCTTCAAGCATGAAAATCGGCTTTGCAGCTTCACAGTGATAAGATCGAGTTGCTACGGTTTCTATGGATTCTTAAGCTTGGAGTAAAAATCTGCTGCAAAATAAAGCCGTGATAGAGCCAGATGTAAGGAAAGCAAGAGAATGTACAGCTGATGCACCATTAAATGAAGCTAAGCCGGTGATTGGCGTGAGATTGCGGAAGACAGGATTCAAAGCAACATATGGGACTGCTAAGATGTACGAGAAGCCGTTGTTATTTTCAGTAAATAAACAATATAAATTTGGAGACAAAGAATTAGCTGACAAAAACATTGTTGGAGCTTTATTGTTCACAACAATTTTACTTAATACCACACCAAGAGGTTATGAAGATTCATTTATAAGATACTTCTTTTCCTCGTTTGGTAGTAAGAATTTTTGACGAGCGCCATAAGCACGAATAGATCAAAGCGAGCCGCATTCTCAGTATTCAGATCCAAATTCTATTAGCATCTTCCAAGATATGACCAAAAACTTCCTCCTCCACCCCTTCGCTTCATCCAAAAAAATTTCCAATGACTAAAACAAGGATGACAAGATTTCGAGATAAGGTGATAAGCAAAAGCAGTGTAGCTCTTAGAATCTTCATTTCTGGGTGATTTCAAATCATTCGCAGCATGAAGCTCGAAGTTTTCAAAAAGTGGACGTAATGGCAGCCAAGACTGACGGAAATTTCGTGGGGCTAAAGTTCTTGTAAGAATTTCAGATTATCTCAAAGACCCCTGATAAAACGAGGTCTGCACATTGTTATAACTCGAACAGATCAACCTAAAAATTTTGTCCATTCGCGCGAGGGCATATGGAAGAGATGCGGTCCTTGCATGAAAATGAGAGTCGAAAGATGAGAAAATGAATAACAGTCTATCCTTTTATCGCATTTTGAAATGATCGGAAGAAAAAGGAAGATTTGCTGATCTTCGACGAAAGTTGTCCTTTCAGAACTCATGACCACGTCGCTCACAAAGTTTCACAAATATACGTGAGAACTAGAGAACTAGAGACGCCATTGCAAACCAACACTATTTTCAAAAGGAAGACGGCTTTTCAGCCATATTAGGTATAATATAAAGCCATTAAAAAAGTACACAGCGAACACATGTTGCATTTCATTGACATAGAACAATACGGTAACGGAAAGGATGTTCAGTTAGATAGTCGAAGCGTATGAGCTACAGGGGCAAGTCTATACGGTGACTGTGTCGTTTAGATAAATTGGACTTCCGTTTCGTCACATAATAGATTCAATTAGATGATCAATACTAATGAATAGCGCGATATCAGAGTTAATAGACTATTACTAATTCGAGTACAATGATAGCATCAGACCAA